ACTTGAAGGACGCGTTCGCGCCCAAATGCATCTCCAAGGACGACCTTGTGGACGAAGGGGACGACGATCTACTGCCCATCGCAGAGTTCTTTCTTAAGATACGGCGTCTAGCTACGAGTACAAGTACCATTGCTCGTCCAAGGCAGACTACCAGGCCGTGGCATGCGGTAGGCTGTCTGCTGATGAGTGTGTGCATGTAGGACACTTGCTGCCGGATCCTGGCCTTCTTTGCAAGCATTGCGCTAAGGCTAGGCCGGATGTTTCTCTCATGTTCAGTAATTGACTGTCTGCTCGACTTAAAGGCTGGCTTTCTCGCACAGTCTTGTGTCAGTTGCTCTTGTCTTCACTTGGCTGCTTGAGCTTTAACTTGGCTCCTGTTGGGCGCTCTGCCTTGTTGTGCTTTGTAGCCCGCTCGGCACTTTGGAGATGGTGGATAAGACCTCCTACACAGGCGCTGTGCCTGATCTGGCGGTTCGTCAGATTTTTGACAGGCAGAAGCTTTTAGAGAACCTGTGCTTGCTCATGGCTGACTCCTCCCTGCTCTCGATCGAGAGGATCGCGATGCTGGGGGACACCATCTCCCAGGCCAAGACTACGCTCAAGGCCATTGTCAATGATGATACAAAGTTTGGAGCGGACAACGCCGCTCGCGAGCTGTCTCTCACTTTGCTGGCGGCCGTCTGGAAAGCATCAGCAGCCTTTCAAGACCATACGGCCGCTCGGCGAGCTAAAATGGAAGAAGACCCGAGCAAGATCCCGGAAATCCGAGGTGAAGACCACGCTGAATTCCGGGAGACGTTCGTCTCTGCTCACCCAGACGTCATCCTCACCTATATGCGGGAGCCCCGTCGCACGTTCGTGGAGCGGATCTACCGCGACTACATGGTGCACGGCTCCGTCAGCTATTATGAGGTGGCCGAGATGCGCACGCGCAGCGATCGCCTGGTCCAGACCACGGGCTTCGAGCAAGACCTCCGAGGATCTGCTCAAGGTGGTCCAGCACGACAACAAGGCTGCGATCGCGGCGGAGTCCGACGTCTTGGACCGCTTGCGTGCGTTCTTTGTGGCCCTCGAGTACCTGAACATTTGCGACTTCACCTTTGCCGCGGGCCCCCTGCGGTACCTCTCGGAGCTCGAAGAGTGGAGGCATGAGAACAGGGGCCTCTCACTTCTGCTCTCCGTCGACAACCTGATCAGAAAGAAAGTGGTCAAGCTCAACAGTGACAAGCGCAAGCTCTTCCCCACGTTCTCGGACGCGCTGCTCGAGGTCCTCAAGAATCACAAGCAGCTCTGGAACGACGCACGCTCGTCCGCGGAGGTGGAAAAGTTCCAGCAAGCTCGGGCCAGTGCTCCGCAAACACCGGCCAAGCGTGGGCGCTCGCCGG